AAAATATAAAACTCAGCCTTTTACCAATTATTTAATGTTGTTTTATCTATCGTATATAGAGTTATAAAAGGGGACTGGATATTCAATGAAATTTTCCAACAGCTTCTAGTATTATGTGGTGTCCCATCCTACCAGCTGGATTTTTGTTAGCCTCCATTATCAAGGATAAGTTACTTCCAAGACCCTATTGGTGTCCAAGTCTCTGTCATTTTTAGCCAATAGGGAGAAAAAGATTTAATTATGCTTACTGGTCACCTGTATTGTCCCAAGCTTATTAGATTGTGAAAGGCAGAAAAACAAGCAGAAAGAGCAAGGGTTTGCATTCAGACAATTCTAGATTTGAATCCTAGTACTACCTCTCTCTAGCTGAGTGACCTTGAGTGAGTGGAGATAATAATAGTATTACTTCATAGGGGAGTTGTGAAGATGAAATGAGATAATATCTGATAAATACTTCATTTCATATCTGCCACTCATGTAGTGCTCCAAATGTATGTTGTCTTTTGTTACCTATGTGGCTCGATGCAGATAACACCAGGATGAAATATTTCTGGAAAATTATTGGGAGAAGCCTTTCTCATTGTACCTTTAGCCTTTTTAAAATGTGGAAATAATCAATTTAGTCAATATTTTTAATTACATCAGAGAAGAAGACTCTGTCTTATTACATTATTGGTTTGTGTGAGCACAAATTCAAAGATCCAAGACTAGGAATATGGTCTAAGGATTTCATGGCTATGAAACTCCATTATCTTTTATTATCTTGCACTCATGGTTGACATGCTATGATAATTAGGCATTTTATAAAATGTGGTAAAGAAAAAAAATCAGCAGTATGGAACTAAAACACTGAAATAAAAAGAAAGAAACTGCAAAACAGAAGAACAGGTATAATGACCACACCACTAATAGGAGGTCAAGAGAGAGTTGGAAAACAGGGACTCTTTCATTGGACATGTGGATTGTACCCTAAATGAAACATTAAGGAACTCTGGAACTTTTGCTGGTAGCCCAGAATGTAAACTTCCTGAATATAAGCATATGGCCAGGTTAGTTGGAATCAGCCTCAAGATACTACTTAGAAATAGTCATTCAGTTGTGGAGTGTCTAAGACAGAAGATTGAGATATGAGACCATATAACAGGAATTCTTTGCTTGAATGAATAAGGTCTCTAAGAGATCTGAGACCTGCGTGCTTCCCTGTGTGATGGGCTTGCAAGCATCTATGCAACTGAAAAAGGTGCTAAGAAAACCAATCAAAATTACTGAATGTCTTATAAACCCATTTGGTTTAAACAGTCCAATGAAGGCAAAGCTAAGTAGTAGTGGGAGACTATGAAAAGGGTATTGATATACTTGTCTTCTGCTTTTCCTGAAAACAGAACATAAGAGAAGGGACTTTACATTGTAACATGAGATTAGCCAGCAAAAGATTTAATGGCAAAAGTTGAGAGACCAAACATTTATTAAATGATTTTTTTTGGTATTTTATGAGAGTATATGGGAGAAAACATAAACCTTAGTTACATCTTTAAATTTCTTGTAAGTGTGATGGACAAAATTTGATTTTTGTCTTCTTTTTTTCTACATTCTCTAATTAAGATCTCCTGAGACCACATGGAAATGGTAAACTTTCCTTTAAGAATATATTTATTTTTTAAAATTAAGGTAAAATTCACATGAAATAAAATCCATCACTTAAGGCATTTTAAAGTATACAATCTGGTGACTTTAGTACATTCACTATTGCACAATTGTCTAGTTTCAGAACATTTTCATTACCTCAGAAGAAGACCTTATACCCAGTAAGTGGTCATTAGCTATTGTGTTGTCTACTCAGTTCCTGACAAAACCTAACTTTCTGTAGCTATGGATTTGGAATGTATTACCTTTGAAATCTTCTGAATTCTGCATCTAATTTTTCAACTGGAAGTAGACTACTATGTGTACTTGTATTTTTTTTGTGTGTGTGTGTGTGAGAGAGAGAGAGAGAGAGAGAAAGAGAGAGAGAGAGAGAGAGAGAGAGAGAGAGAGAGAGAGAGAGAGAAAGAAAGAGAATGAATGTGTGTAGAGAACCCATGAGAGGAGAGTGTGCTCAGTATTCACGAAAAACTTTTCAAGGTCAAATCTATTTGCAATATTCAAACAACATGAAGACCTAGGAGGATAGACACTTTCCTGGGAACAACCTACAATTAGATGTCTGTAACTTATAGAAGGCATCTGAATTTGAATTTCTCAAGGGCCCAGTCAGTCTTAGGTTATAGAAATGCCAAACAGTTCCAGAATTTTGCCCATAACATCAAGAATGGCTTTTAAATAGAAATGTGGCTGTATAGTTTCTAAGTTAGGGTAAAAAATTCCACACCCAATAGAAGCTCTGTCTTGGAGCTATGCTTTTCCTGTAATATTTGGTGATAACCCTATTACTTTTTTTTTCTTCTTCAGAGCAGTGGAGTAGTGATTATTTTTTATTCTGCCTTTGTTCTGGTAAGAACATCAGATACAGCAGAGGAAACTGAGGGTCCAGTAGGGTAAGTGAAAATGCAACTTAAAAATAAAATAATGAAACTCCTTTTATTTCCCAACCATAAATACTTTTTAGCAATTTTAAACTAGAATATACATTTGATTCTAGCTGAACTTTTTAAAAGGTTGGTTAGCCTGTTCACAAACTTTTGAAAATGTTGAAAACAAATTGTAAAATGGACTTTCAGGCATTTTTTTTTTTTCTTTTTGAAAATACTTCAGGCTTGGACGGCTTTCTTAGTTATGATTACATCGACAGGAAAGTTGTATATTTATGTTGTAGGAAAAATACAAATTACTTTTGGAAGAAATCTTAATATTCAATTAGTCAAATGTTTCTTTAGAAGGAGGAAGAGTCAGTAGGGTCTTGTGATTTATGCAGTGCTTTGTAATCTCCAGCCAAGTTCAGGAAATTTCTGTCATTTTGCGTTTTGCATGTATTTTTAGAGGTTTTATTCCATTTTCATTTTCAACTCTTTTTCATTTCATGAGCCCCAACTAATATAATTTGATTATTCACACCTCACTGGTTTTGATGTTACAGATCTCTCTCCTCTTCCTGAAGTAGCCTTCTTACTTGCTTCATAGTAGTCTCCTGTATGTTCTTTTCACCATTCTCTCAGCTTTGTCCTCTGGGGATTTTCTAGTGATAATGGAGAACAGAAATTCCACATTACATTTTGAAGTTCATACTGACTCAGCTTCTATTTCCACAAATACTTCTCAGACAATGTTAATGGTAAATAAAGTTTTTTAACCCTCTGAAAGTTGGGTATAGTACAACACTCCTTATGGCATGCAATAATTAAAGTACTTGGGGGTTCTTGTTATGGAGGCATCTGTGGCAAATGTGCAAAAAGTATCATTATCCTTTGTGCCTTACTTGAGGACCTATCAACAAATTCATTTCTAATATAAAATCGGCATAACCAGAACGACTTTACCAGTTTCCTCTTTCCTAAGTTCCTCATCTGGATGTACTTTGGTTTACTTCTCAAGGACATATGGATACATGACTTACTCTCCAACTTCAGCAGGCAAGTGAAGGGAGAGAACTTGAAAGTGTGTAAAAGAAAGGAAACGAGGGCTCCAAGAGGGAAAAAGCTGTTAATAGCAGTAAACTGTAAATCCCCTATCTCTAACCTCCAGACCACATCCCAACTGAATCCAGCTGCACCCCGCCCTTAGACCTTTGGGGCTTCTGATTTCGCGTCTTGATACAGGACATATATTTATGAGTGGTTCCCTTCACTTCTAGGTGTTAGTCAGCCCGTCTGCTGGTGTTCCAAGTGTGAAATCTGGTAGGAGTTTCAATGTTTAAGATCACTCCTGGGGTTTTGGCAAGACTGATAAAGGTAAGGTAATCAACAGGCTGGTAAAAGGGGTTTATGCCCTAGGGGTTTTCACACAGCTGGAGCAAACCGAGGTCAACAGAGGCTTACACCTGGTGTTCTTTATAGTCATTCATCTGCCCCTCCAGGAGGTCAACGAAAGACTTTATCAAGACCCGGACATACCCAAGGACTTAACTGGGATAACCGGTATTCCTGGTAACTGCCTGTCCGATGCTGGGATATTTGGAGGAGAAGAGGAGAAGAGTGGCAGGGTGAGAGAGTGCAGGAGGAGAAGAGAGGATGGTGAAGGGCTTGTTAGGGCTGCTGCCTCCTCGATTTGTCTTCAGACCGGATCTGAGCTGGGGGTAGGTCCGCCACTCTCTGCAGTACTTCACCTTTCCCGGCCTCTCTTTCGCCTCTGAAGAAGGCTGGACTCTGATCTTTGAGCCCCCTTCCTGCCCTTTGATTCTGCTGTTTTGAGGGAAGCCCCGCTCTGCTGTCCTAGGAAGGAAAAACATTCTCTGCCGCCAGGGGCCGGAATGGGAAGGCCAGGAAAGGGACTTGTGTGACAAGGGTTATATTTATTTAGATACCTATATTACAATTTATTTTCTTAAAAATAATTAAACAGAACCTCCCTGCCCCCGCCAGCTTGAGCTGTAGCTTCGTGCAATGACCTGTTGGCGGCCTTCCCTTCCCCTGGATGGCCAGGTAGCTAGTGCGGGGGCAGCCCGTCTCTCCAGCACTTGCCTCTTGGTCTGGGGCAAAACGTCTCCACGCCGCCCCCGCCGTGTCCAGGCACCTGCGTTCCGTTCCCACTCCCACGGCCACCCGGATGCCCTTCTCGCGGCTTCCCAGAGAGCGGGAAAACCTGGCGAGTGGAGCCGGCCCGAAGCGGAGGTCCCCGCAGGCTGCGCAGGTGGTTTCTGGCCAGCTGGACACTTGCGCCCCTGTGGGCGACTCCCGGGAAGGACGTGGAGGGCGGCGCAGCACACGGGGTTGGCGGGAGCTCAGCCTCGGCCGCGGAGACGCCCCGGGATCCCTGAAGGGGAGGAGGCGGCCCTGACAGGGGCGAGGGAGCTCCGCCCCCTGCTCCGTATAAGTGCAGGGCCCGGCCTGCGGCGGCGGCGGCGGCAGCGGTGGCGGTGGCTGGTGCTGGCTCAGGGTCTTCACGGCCTGTCGAGCCTCCCACCCGGTTCCATAAGGCTTTGCCTTTCCAACTTCAGCTACAGTGTTAGCTAAGTTTGGAAAGAAGGTTAAAGGAAGACCCCCGGACCGTTTTTCTTTTGTTCTTTGCTACAGTTGTCGTTAGGGTCTTTTTGGACAAGGCTGTTGTGTTTTTACCGGTGCTATCTTCAGTTCCTCGCACTCCTGTAAGCACCTCACCAAGAGCAGCAGCAGCCGCTGGAGCAGTTAAAGACCCAGCTGGAGGAGAGGACCTGGTGTCATGACCAGGGCCAGAGATCAAAACCGCCGGGAAGGATGCTGTGGTGAGTTGTGTTGACCAAGTGAATATGGTGGAAACTCAGGTGGGACTTTGGAGGCAGCAACACCCGCTCAGGTTTTGGAAGAATGTGGCTTTCGTTGTTAATCAAAGTGCTTTGTAAAAGCACCTTTGATTTCTATTTTGATGGGGGTTAAATGAGAAGGCAAATTCAACGTGTGAGAAATGGGACTTGCACACCGGCAGAGGTGGAGTAGGCTGGGCAGTTTGGATTGCCTTGCGTTAAAAAAAAAAAAAAAATGAAGTTAAAGAATGTTGAAACAAGAGTTTCTTCACTAACTGTGAAGATAGGCAGTTGTTGACCAACAGGTCATGCTGAATTTAAGTGAATAATATTAACTAAACTAAATGCATCAGTTAGTAGGCGATTTGATAAATGTACCTGGTTTGTCTCATATAGTAGTTTTAGTATCATGTTTAAATAAAACAGGTATGCCTTTAACCTAAGCTCATTTGAGTGACAAAGTATGCCTTTTGTATTCTCTCTTGTGTTTATTTGCAGGATCCTTAGCAAACTACTTGACCTCAGCAAAATTCCTCCTCTACCTTGGTCATTCTCTCTCTACATGGGTAAGTAAGAATGTACAGTGATTCTTATAATATAGTTGCACAATTTCTTGTTTACTTTCATTCCAGCCTGTTGTATTAAGTCCACGTCCAGTTTTGTCATGCAGCTAAGGAAATAAATTTTCCAAAGACCGGTGTTTTAATTAAAAAGTTGTTTTCATCTAAGGTATTTCCCATGGATGTTAGTAAATGCTGTTTAATTATTGTCATATTTCATGTGGATTGTCAGCTATCCAAAGACAGGATTAACAGGTATGGAATACTTACATTATTTATATATTGTATATTGCACTACTAGGCTTGATAAATGGTAGTATCTGCTATGAAGAATGGAAAGATGTCTCATACACCTTCTGTTCTTTCACATTTTTAAGATATTCTGTTTTTTTTCCTTTTGTTAAAATATAGTTCCAGCATACAGTGCTATGAAAATATAGTGGAATGGTGGAGCAATTGACTTATGCTAATCATAGAATCTTAATTCTAAGATTAATTTAAATTACATTACCCCAAGATTAAATACCTGAGCGACAAAAATTCTGGTCATTAAAGATAACAATCTGTGGTTACATTTCATGTTGGCACTGCAAGCTGTTCCAAAAAGCACCCATCTCCAGTGAAAATCAGCAGTTGATTTACAGTTTTCCCTCTGACTTCCTATGTGGTTTTGGAAGAAATCCCAGTGTTTTTGTTGGCCTGGGTTACTTTATCACTCCCTGTATCCCTGCCCCCCCAAAAGAATGATCTCAGAAGGTTATTGGAATTGTGTTTAATGATTGATCATTAGAATCTTTAAAAACTTAACAATTATTCGCATGGTTTAAAAGTTATAAACCTGGATATATTCTGTACATGCCTCATAAAGAACAAGAATTTTGAAAGTAAAATTTTAATGTTAATTTATTTTTAAATTGAAAACTTCTCTTGGATTATCTTTAGGACAGGAATGGAAACCATTATATGAGGAAATCTATACCCTATGCCCTTGGGAAGTTATTAAGATAGGTTATTGGCCCTCTAGGAAATTGCAGTTCATAGATGACTTGGAAAAGCAAGCTCCTGTCTTTCCAGATGCTTATGCAGGGATGACTCTGCAAATTCATGTAAACAAAGTAGAATTGGTGTGAGTTTGTTTCAATTCCAGTAGCCAATGAGTCTAAGTAGAAACCTAGTGAAATAAACCTCAGTAGATCTGAACTAATAGTTTACCAATTTAATTCAATAGCTATTAAGTATTTTAAGAAAGCAATAAAGGTAATGGAAATAATGTTTGAAATTCTTAGCTTCTGATCTGGACCTAACTCCTAGGGAAACAAAGTGCCTAATTTTCAAATACTGATTAAATTTAAGGTTTATGTGACCTTTGGTTGATAGATTAGATGTCAGATTTGCCAAAAACATTAACAAAGCTGTGGTTCTTCCAGGAGAGTTTCTTGTTGGGATTTTTTAAAAAAGCTTCACATGAAAGGTGGCAGATGCTTTTCCCAACCTTATAGTAAGTTGTGCAAAGGGAGTTCTTATGAGAAAGTTGGATTAAAAAAATCAGCTACAAACATGTAATGTTTAGTGAATTTAACTTCTCACTGCAAAGGAGTGCAAAAGAGGAACATTAACGCTAAGTGATTCACTTTTTGTGCTTTATCTCTTGTGTGGCACACTGTCTGATGTTATTACAACAAAATGCATATGATTATGTATATGTGTATGCATATCTATCCATTCCCCTGCCAACCCTGCCAAATCATGATTTCCTACACATTGAACATAGGTTCCTTCAAGTAGAAGGTTATCTCAAGTTAGATTTATGTGGGATTGAATTTTTTTTATTTCCTATTTCATTGCTGTATGCCTATGGGTCAATACATTTTGTTCTGTGCTATTCAGAGTACAAAATAGTATAAGAAGCAGACTTTTTAAAAAGGATTTTATAATTAGGTATGGGCTTTTAAAAAGTAATTATGAAAAAAACAGCAGAGTAAGGCAGTGAAAAGGAGGAGCCAGTTGATCACATCATGTCATGTCATTATGCGCTGTCTCCATTTATATACCCTAGTGTATCTCCATTTTTCCAGTCCTCACTTCCTGTAAGTCTCACTTCTTTGGCTCACAGGCTCTCAGAAGATTCACAGAAGTTTCTCTATTTCATATAAAATGCCAGCTTCTGGCCCCATTCTATGTTATTTTTCCTCAGAGCATTTACCACCATCTGACCTGTGCTCGATTTGTCTTTGGTGTCTGCTCATTGGAATGTGAGCCACATGAAAGCATGACTGTTATTTTTATGCACTGTTGAAGCTGCAGTGACTGCAATAGCGTGGGGTACATAGTAGCTGCCCCATAAGTATTTAATAAGTGGCTTAATGACCACAGTAATTTATTCTCTGATCCACTGGAGCAGATAGATATATAAACAAATCATCAAAGTATGATGAGAACAAGTGGGAGGGCAGAAAATGGAAGCACAGGATGAATAGGTAAGCTTGAGGGAAGAAGGGAATGGGTGGGTCCTTGGTCAATGTTTACTTAGACTTTACCCAGTTATGGGTTTTTGTGAGTGTATAATCTGTTGCTTCTTAAAAACTAAATCCTTTGGAAATTGGGGTAACTAGAGCAATTTCCACTTCATCCCCCCCCAGGTCCTAATCTTAATTTAATTTTGAGCTGTGGCTCAAAATTTGTTTATGATCTTTTACACCACAGTTTCTCTATCTCTGCTCTATTGATGTTTAGATCAGAAAATTTTTTCTTGTGGAGGACTGTCTTATGCATTGTGGATGTCAGTGGTATCCCCCCTCTATCTTCCTGCAGTTGTGACAACCAGAATAATTCTGGACATTCACAGATCATCCCTGGAGAGTAAACTCACCCTCAGTTGAGACCTACTGGTCTACAGTGAAATTTATTGTAATTGATTCCTAGCCCATATCAGCCTAAGTTTTGAATGTTTAAGATTGTTGCCTTGGCTTTATTAAATTTTTAAAATAATTTTAATTATTTTAAAATAATCAAATATAATAATTTGCTTCCAGTACATGAAATTTATCATGAGATTCTTGACAGACTTTGGAAATGTCTAGGAATGTAACTACTTTTACATAGGGTCAAATCTGTAAGGAGCTCAGCCTGAGAATTTAGTATCCTGAAGTGATTTTGTGGAATAGGTCATGAGAGAATATTGTCCTTCTTTCTGTGAACCCTGGAAGTCAGGTGTGGAGTTAAATTCTCATAATAAAGTTCCTCAAAGATTTCTTATATGTTAATCTGCCTGGTTTGCAAGTTTCTATTAAACTTATGCCACATTTTGTAGCAACAAATTCCAGAATTTCCTATGTACTCTGAACCTGTATAAAAAATATTGTTTTTCCCCATCTGTATTAAAATGTTAAAATGACTATTTACACATTTATGTGGACGTCTTTGTTTATGTGTGCCAGAATTTGATCTTACTGATTTTATCTTTCTGGTTGCTTGACAGTTTTATGATTCTGAAATAGGGCTGTTTTAAAATGTTAGAGGTAAAGAGTCATTAGAGATCACATAGTCCATTCCTATCATTTTACAAACTGGGGAACTAACTTTTTCTTTTTATCTTTTTTTAAAAATATTTTTTAGTTGTAGATGGACACAATACCTTTATTTATTTATTTTTATGTGGTGTTGAGGATCTAATCCAGGGCCTTACACATGCTAGGCGAGTGCTCTACCACTGAGCCACAACCCCAGCCCATGACTTTCTTTAACATTAAATGTATGTCAGTGTTTATGAACTGTAGTGTAATTTAGTCTGGTTCCACAGCAAACTACTTTATTGCCTCTCAAATCAAAATAGGAAAATCACATGCACACAGAGAACAGTTTCTGTGTCATCTTAGGTCTGGAAACCTCATTTTTCTGGAATAAGAATGTTTTATTAGTATCATGCTGTTTTGAATTTACTTAGTAACTGTGCAGGAATATTTTCCATTGTATCAGGGTGTACAGTTTTAACATCTGACCAATATTTAATCCATAGAATAATTATTGACTTTGAAGTCTTGTGCTGTAGCCAGAAAATTGACCTTTTGATAAGAAAACAACTCCCTGAATACAATGAATTAGAAACCAAAAATATTTGATCACAACATTTTCTCCTCTTCAAGGGAGATCGGATGTGGCACTTTGCCGTGTCTGTGTTTCTGGTGGAGCTCTATGGAAACAGCCTCCTCTTGACTGCAGTCTACGGGCTGGTGGTGGCAGGATCTGTTCTGGTCCTGGGAGCCATCATTGGTGACTGGGTGGATAAGAACGCCAGACTTAAAGGTGAGTGTCCTTACACAATTAAGCCCCAGTGCCTATGGGATCAGCTCTGAGCTTCTGTAAGAAAGTAAACAACAAACTAAGAGAGAAATCATTGTTATTAACCCACTGAGTACATGCCACACCTAGGGATGGGGGTTCAGCAGCACCTCTGGAGTCAGGGTCCTAGGGCTCCTGCATAAAACTGAGATGCCAGCATTGTTGACCCAAGAGTTTGTTGGTTGTTTTTTTTGTTTTGTTTTTTTGTCTTTTTGGCAGTTCATAAATTTCAGATGTTAATGATTAACACTGTATCCACTTTCTGGTAACCATGTTAAACATTAAAATTTGCTTAATTATGGCTTCCTTCCTAACCACATTGTGAACTGGAGTCCCTTTAGTGTGATGTTCCTGGGACAGCTTTAGCATCTGTCCTCTGGTTCACTATGTTTCATCTAAAGGTTTGTGTAAGGGAATTGAAAACTAAATATTGATTCAAGGGAGAAAAGCTGAGTCTGGATAATGAAGTGTATAATTATAATTTTTTAGGGAAAAAGAAGAAATAATGGTATATTGACTTTATTATAGAGAATTAGACTAATTTTGTTTTATTCAAGAAAGAGAAAAAGTGACTGAGCAATTTAGTTATTTAGAATATAAAGGCAATGAAGATTATCATTCAGGTAAAATTTTCTTGAATTGCTTAGTTGATAATGCCTGGACCGACCAGGCCATATCTTTCTTAGACCTTCTCCATGTCTAGGGAATGATTGAGGTTTCATTAGTTTCTTTCAGTTCGGGGTGACTACTCCTAAATACCTATACATGTAACAGGATTATCAAATTGTGGGACTTGATGCTACTAGTAAAATGGTCAAGATGAAAATTTTCCTGTTTTGAGAATATGTAGACCAGAACACATATAGAAAAACAATTCTGTATCCTAAAAAAAATCCTAGTTATTTACATGATTATGCATACAAAATGGAATCTTATTATACATAGAAACCTTTAACCTTTTAAATGTTGGGCATTGCAATCATAGGTTGGGAAAGGATGTTGAGTTGGATGAAGAAGAATGTGGTGGGATCACAGTCTCCCACTTATTTTATATAATCAACTCATTTATCACTCTTCATAGAAAATTTCCCCTAACGTCTCTAGGTTTAATCATCATTTTTTTTTTCTCTGTGCTCTCATGAGGCTTTGTTTGTACCTCTGCTTTTAGACTTACATGGTTATAATTACCTGTTCACATATCTTTCTTCTGGTCTGTCAGGTCCTAGAAGCTAAGAATCTCATTCAGGTGACATTTAATCCTGTGCAATGAATGAATGAATGACTTACATGTTGGAATTTTTTTTTCAGGCCCTGTTCAGAGAGTAGTTGTTTTGTTTTGAATCTTTGATATGACCTTACAAGCCAGGATGAGCTTTATTGTTCCAAATAAGAAGAACTATAATTACACCTTAGATATTTCAAAGTGCTGTCATAAATATTTTATTTGAGCATCGTTATGATCCTTTAAAGTAAGGAAGACATATATAACCATCCTCACCTTCTAGACATAGGCATAAGAGACCTTAAATATCCTTCTTGGATCATCTACCCAGTAAATTGCTGAAAAGAGACTACAAGATGTCTTTGCCTGCCTTTCTCCAGCACCTTATCTACATAAATGCCTCATTCTAAGAGGGTTGACATTTTTTTGTGTGTGGGATGGAAGGTGGAGCCTAGAATTTCACAGCAGTGGCAGATAGCATTACTACGTCAAAAAAACTCATTGATGCTTTATTCTTGGCAAATTTTTGTATTTTTTTCCTATTTGTGCATCTCACCTTACCAGAGTAACCCTGCCATGTAGAAGACCGTGGATCATAGATTTTATAACTTCTCTTGATCTCTTTTTTTTTTTTCAGTGCAGGGGATTAAACCCTGGCCTTGAACATACTAGACCTCCTTCTTTATAACCTCCTACATGTTCTTGTTTCAGCTTAAGCAATAAAGGACAGAGAGATGGATCTTATCTATATAATAGTTCTGTTTATGACAGTAAGCTTTCAATAAATAAAATGAAAATATACTGTAAATGACTTCAACAGAAAAAAATTGTGGGTACTTTTTGTTTGCGTATTTCACTGGTCTGTGATCTTCTGGGTTAAATTGGGATAGTTGAGGCAGAATTTTGTTTGGAAACTTTTCCTTTTGTCATACAGTAAATAGGCATATGCATTAATGTAGTGGATTGTTGATGTGTGGATAAAAACAGCCTGATGAAAACATGGTGCTGCAGTGAAAACTCTCTTTCTTCCTTTGTACAGTGGCCCAGACTTCACTGATAGTACAGAATGTTTCAGTCATCCTGTGTGGCATTATCCTGATGATGGTTTTCTTACACAAAAAGGAGCTTCTGACCATGTACCATGGATGGGTCCTTGTAAGTTCCCAATGGGATTCTTTTTTTTTTTTTTTTTTTTGGTACTGGGGATTGAACTCGGGGGCATTTGACCACTGAGCCACATCCCCAGCCCTATTTTGTGTTTTATTTAGAGACAGGGTCTCACTGAGCTGCTTAGTGCCTTGCTTTTGCTGAGGCTGGCTTAGTACCCACAATCTTCCTGTCTTAGCCTCCCAAGCCTCTGGGATTATAGACATGCACCACCACGCCTGGCTCAATGGGATTCTTGATGTCAGAATATTGGATATCTGTTAGTGATGAAGATAAAAATGCTTCAAAGTCAAGGAGTGTCTTTTTTTTGTTGCAAATTTGACTTTTTAATATTCATCCCATGTCTACTGTAATGTCCCCTTTGATTTAGTGTTGTTTTGCCCATAATAGGTACTAAGTATTGTTTGAATTCAAATTACATCCTATTAGTTTTTAATATAATTCAGTTTTCAGTTTTATTCTATCTTACTGTGTACGTTATGTGTATTAGATAAGAAATGTTATCCAGGGGCTGGGGATGTGGCTCAAGTGGTAGCACGCTGGCCTGGGCATGCGTGCGGCCCGGGTTCGATCCACAGCACCACATACAAACAAAGATGTTGTGTCTGCCGAAAACTAAAAAATAAATATTAAAAAAATTCTCTCTCTCTCTCTTTAAATGAATAAATAAATAAATAAATAAATAAATAAATAAAACAAAAGCAACATCTTAAAAAAAAAAGAAATGTTATCCATATGAACATATTAATCAGTCCTATTTGTGTCCCTCCAATAATAATAATTGTGATTTCTATTTGGAGATATCATCTGTATAAGTTCATACACAATGATTTCATGGTAGCTTGATGGAAAAAAAGTGAGAGGAATGGGATATGGTGGATAACAATGAACTTGGTGTCACTATTGAAACTTCCTGTATTTATTTGGACTGATAGGATAGAGTTTCAAAGCCAGGCAGGACATTAGAAATCTTCAAGTATATTCCCTTTATTTTGTCAGTGACAAAACTAAGACAAAAAAAGTTTGGTTCATTATCCATTATCATTCAGCTATAAAGTTTCAGAACTCTGACAATTAAATATAGGTCTTTTCAATTCCCCTTCAGCATCTTTTTGGTGGAGATGTTTGAGGGAAAACTGTTACCATTTTCTAATAACTTTGTCACCATTCTCTTAATAGCTAAGTCACATAATGTTCATGTGACTATTATATTTTTTACATTATACATATTACAGATGATTATAGATTAGGACAATGTACTCTTTAACTTGTCCACTGGTATTTAATTGTTTCATGCACATAAAGTAAAATTTCTTATAAATGAAACTAAAACAAAAATGTATTATTTTGTCAGAAAATTTTAAATTACCATGTATGGTGGGTGAGGTAGGCATTAGTGTAATAAACTGACATTTTACCTCCATTTTTCCTTGTAATTCCTTAGACTTCCTGCTACATCCTGATTATAACTATTGCAAATATTGCAAATTTGGCCAGTACTGCTACTGCAATCACAATTCAAAGGGATTGGATTGTTGTTGTTGCAGGAGAAGACAGAAGCAAATTAGCAGGTAATTTGATTTTCTTTTTTAATCAAATGGGTATATTAGGATTCACTTTAAATCGGTGGAAATAAGTAAGACTAGAATCCTTTTTGTTATTGTTCTGTGTATGTTTTAAGATAATAAACTGAAGATGTAGTTGCTTTTAACTTTATTGTCAAATCTTACTGCTTAGATTTATCTGTTATGGAGGTAATTTAGAGGATAGTTAACTACTCTTTTATTCTTTGCAAACCCGGTAAATGGAAAATCTTTCTTGAGCTTTTCCTTTTTCTTTTTAAATTTGGTGAACTGTTTCCAATATTTAATATATATAACAATGAGAATTTGACATGTTATTTTTACTAGTCATATCTGTGGATGTTATCACTGGTAGTAAGGATCATATCATGGATATTATTTTTCTCCACATGAAACGGAAACAACTTAGTTGTAGGAGAGACTCTAGAAGTTAGTTTCTTCTATTTTAAAGTTACAATCTGTAACTTTCATTACATTATGTAGGATGTAATGCGGCTGCTGTCAAAAACTGAAACAATATTGGACAGAACGCACTTTTTAAGACCTGACAGTCCTATTCCATTGGAAACATACGAGTGGCTAAATAAAGATCATGGAGTACTCACAAAGCAGTGTGTCCTCTCACAACAACATTGCCTGGGCTTGGAATGCCTTCCTTACTTGATATTCTCTTTCTTCCTCCCATACAACACAGACACAAATTGAATTGATAATTACACATGGTAGAGGAGGAAGGGTACACCTGCCTACTAGTTAGATCAGCTGAATCAACTCTGCTGGTCATTAAGATAATGAGTATCACAAACACATTGCCTAACCATCCTGACAGACAAGAAAACCATTCCTGATGACTTAAGTGGCTTTTTTCAGGACACAGAAGGCAAGATTATGTGCCAGGATTAGCAAGCAGCTTTGTTTGATGGGACCTTGTGATTAAAAATAAGGAAAAAAAAAAAAAAAAAAGAGGTGGTGACTGAAAGAGAACAAAGTCTGTGGAGGTCTAGAAGAAGAATTTGCTCGAATCATCACTTTGTGGTAACAATATTATAATCTAGGTAGAAAAGCACTGTGATTTCAGAGGATGGTACCTGCATACTAGGACGAGTGTAGTAAGAATGAGTCTGCACAGCAGGGAATTCTCCTTGACTTTTCTTTCTGTGATGATTCATAAAAGGGAATAGTTCCTCATCTCTTTTTGTCACATTGACCTAGAAGATAAGGCTAGGCCCTTTATTTTTTCTCTTTTTCACATGTTCTGTAAGCATGTAAAATATGTTCCATATTATAAAATTCAAGATATTTTTAAAATCCCATTTATTTTTAGAATATATTTTGGGAGAAGGTCGCCTTGTAAATGATTATTTTTTTGCCTATCTGAATTTCTTAACTAATTTTGACTCTCTGAATTGTATTAAAGAAACTAAAGTCTATTAAAGAGAAAGTGACTCAGCGTCTTTAACTCGTCCTACTACATATACATGAAAAACAAAATAAAAAAAAAATTTCACAAAGTTATGTGGGTCTTTTTCACTAGGAAGTGATGTTCCAGAACAATGACAAAAATATGACTGGCAATTTCTCATCTGTCCCTCTTTATATATATGACTATTGCAGGGTTGAAGAATCTAGGCCAAACAGTCTATTTTCTAGCCTTCAGGAGTTTCTTATTAGGCAGACTTAAAGGAGAACAGAGAAAAAGGAGGTGGGTAAAAGAAAAATAGAACAGAGATGGGAGAAGGTGGAGTGCTTTGGGGACTGCAGCTGCTGCTTGATCCTGTGAGGCTGTGTCTACATGGATACACCTGCTCCAATCAGGAAAAATTTATGGGTATATGAAAATACAGCCTAAGTTTTGAAGTTGTTGGCAAAGATCCGGCACTGGGCTGGGAGGCTTTACCTGTGTGCAAGTTGTATCATCAAAGGTAAAGAATAGGAGAAACCATCTAGTTTAGAAAGCTACAGAAGGGGTGTTGTTTTTCACACGCATATCTGTTAGCTAAGGTACTGGGGAACAGAGGTAGTGAAAAGAGTAACATAATTTAAACCAAAATAATTTGCTTGTTGCTGTAATGGAACTTTAAGATCCAACCATATATTTTCTTCAGTTACTGGTATTTTGGGTTCAGCTCATTGAGTCATTTGGGTCAATCCCACACTTCTCTGTTGGCATATGCATCCGAAACTTGCTAGTGGGGGCAGATGGAAGATAGTGAAGCCTCTGCAAAAACTGTCATGAGTGAGATTAATGAATGCTGCCTTTGCCTTTCAAGTGAAAGGTGAAGTATGCCAAAGTTCTCCTGTTATCATGTAAGCGTTATATACTCATAGGACTAATCAGAAACTAATTAAAGACCAGAAAGAACTAAAGAAGGAATAAAGGCAATTTTCTGTTAATGTTCTTAGTCACAGATGCTTTTTCCACAGTGACCCAAAGGATTGTAAAAGACTTACCTTGTTAATTTTCACTCTGCTCTATGAGATAGGGAATGAGAAAGCAGGTGATTGTCTTAACCTCCTGTTCTTTATTCATCTTGTTCTCTACTTTGACATGACTATGCATTCCTATGGTCTTCCCTTCTATAACCTCCATCTTAAGCGTCTGTATCTGGAATTACCAACTCTTACCTTTGTAGTTTGCTCTTTCACTACCCCACCCCCAACAATCCTCCAACCTCTTGTCACTTACAAGTCACTAATTCCACTTTCTGTTCACTGTTCGTGACCTCTGTCTTGTCTGCCTTTCTCACCCAGTTTAAATTCCAAGGTCATTTATTCATGATTGTATGATCAACTCCTGGGTATACCCTCAGTTCTCTTGGCCCCTCTCTTTCTGTCCCTTTCATTCTGGAAGAAGCTGGTTAAGTTCAGCTCTCCACACTAGAACATGACTGGAGAAAAACACATGACCTTGCTCAGTGTTCTCACTTGAAGTTCTTAAAGAGAGGATTGAAGTCGACCCTTTCATGCTGTTAGATGATCACACCATTTTCTCTGGTCCCTTCCTTCTCCCATTTTCCTAGAGGACTATTTCTAATTTTCTCCCTTATCCTCACACATTCACGACCTTTTCCCCCTTCCTCACACGGACTGATGATCTTGCTTTGTATTTTGCCGATGCAATGTAAGAAATGAGAAGACGGCCCCCGTGTGCTTCCGTTATCATTTCTCTCTTCCTACCTGTAACTGACACCAAGTAGGTGATTCCACTCTTGCTACCATTGATGGATTATCTGTGACCCTATCTGAGACCAGCTCTTCCACTTAGGCAGTAGATTCAGATTCCTTCCTTTCTCATCTACTGTATCATTTCAGCACTTGAACATGCTCTGATTTTCTTCTTAAAAGCCAGTCTTTACCACACTTCCTCCTTTGCCAGTCCATTTGTTTCTTTCTATTTTCAGCAAACTTATCAAAGCATCTTGTTTCTAATTCCTTTCTTTGGTCAGAATCTTGCTTTCCAGAATCTTGCATTCCCATTGTAATTCCAGGGCAGGAGATGCATTGAAAATATAATAATAAAAGTGGTGTCTCCTGGAGTTGGCACTAGTTTCTTACCACAACTGTAATCAAGCACTTGCCCTTCCTGCTCCACTGTGTTTGAGGTCCCTGATATTTTTCTTGTGACCAATCTAATGTTTCCTCTGAGTGCTCATCTTCCTTTCCCTATCAGCAGCACTTAATTTCTCTCTCCTCTTTGCAACACTGTCACCATTGGCTTCTAAGACACCATGCTCGCTTTTTTTTTTTTTCCTCTTTGCTATTTCCTTCTCACCTTCCTGCTCTCTACACATGGGTGTGCCCAGACATGGTCAGAACAAACTGATGACTTGCAAATATGGCTCATATTTCTTGCCTATAACTCCAGCCTGATATATTTAACTGTCTGCCTCTTGATGTGACCTTTTGAATATTAGTAGGCCTATCAGAATCAGCACCCCCAAAACCAAACACTGGGTTTTATTCCTCTGAAATCTTGTTTCTCAGCCAATGGCAGCTCAGAAAAAAAAACAAAACTTTGCGTTATCCTTGATTCCTCTCATTTTCTCACAATGCATATCTAATCTGTTAGCAAGTTCTCCTGATTCTACCTTTAGAGCATACACTGTATCTTTTCCCCACATTTTCACTATTAACCATCTTGCTCTACCCCGCCATCATCTCCCACATGGGGCCTTGCCTCTGCTCTTGTCTACCACCTCTCTCACTTTATAGTCTTTGCCTAACACAGCAGCCAAAATAAACCTTTAAAAATATGTCAGATTATGCCTCTCTCTATGTTTAAAATCTTCCAAAGGGCCTCTGACTCAAAGGAAAAGTCAAAGTCCATATAATTTCCATAGGTCTGTACATGATCGTATCTGTCTCCCCTCACCCTCTGACCTCATCTCTCCTGCCCCAGCTCTGATGAACTCTTTCCTAGACTGCTAACACTCTGGGCCTACTCCTTCTGTCCTAGGACATGTATTTCCCTGGGTCTGGAATGTTCTTTTCCCTGATATCTCATGGCTCACTCTTTTGCTTCCTTTAAGTCTTTTTTCAGCAATTCCTTCCTTTAAGTCTTTTTTCAGCAATTCCTTCCCTGATATTGCCTTATTTAATACTTTTCCCTCAATGACCTTTTTCTGCCCTCTCACTACAGTATTTAATGAACATCTGACTTGTGCCATGTTTGTATGTGCTTATTGATTTATTGTTTTTCTTTTCCTATGAGAAGGCAAACTTCATGAAAACTAATAAAGATAATAGTAGTTTTCTTTATGGTATTGAGAGTGGTGCCTAGCTTATGACAGGCATTTAATAAATATGTGTTGAAAAAATGAATATAGTCACTATTAGATTTATTTTAAAAGCTGATGTTGGACTAATTCTACAATTACAAGGGGATCACATTTCTTGAGGCAGTTTTAATGTGAAAAACAACTGTTTTCCTAGCAAATAGTTTGCTCACAGAGTGCTTTTAGAAACTTGCATTTTAGAAATCTATGCTCTTGGTTTTGACCACTATATCATGTAAATGGCCAGTATTTCTTTGACGAGTTTGAACTCTTGCCCGCCTCTTCCACCTGCTCCTGTAGATATGAATGCCACCATTCGAAGGATTGACCAGCTGACCAATATCTTGGCTCCTATGGCTGTTGGCCAGATTATGACATTCGGTTCCCCAGTCATTGGCTGTGGTTTTATTTCTGGGTGGAATTTGGTATCCATGTGTGTGGAATACTTTCTGCTCTGGAAGGTTTATCAGAAAACACCTGCTCTAGCTGTGAAAGCTGCTCTTAAAGTAGAGGAAGCTGAATTGAAACAGCTGAATTTACACAAAGGTAAGATGAACACAATGACCATCCTTTATTCTCATGTTCAGACTTTAAATGCTGGCGAAAATCAAAACTATTTTGGCTTGTATACGATTTTATTCCCAGTAAAGGCCTGAATGAGGTTAAATATATGACTTAGGTAGATGAGGCCAAAATAAGACTTTTTTAAGGTTCCAGGGAACAACTCTGGTTTGAAACTGAAGGATCCCTAGCCCTGTCTCTTTATGTGAGTGGTAGGCACAGAAGGGCAATAAGTTGAGGGGTGGCTAGGCAAAAAAGAGGCATAGAAATGGGAAGAGAGTGAGAAAAAAAAATTCCTTAGAGTCATTGAAGAGAGGAGTTCATGGCCTTTGGAAAGAGTTCACGGTCAGTGGAAGGGAGTGAGGATGTAAAGGGCATTGCCCAAGGGCAGGGGGAAGTTGGGCTATAGGTAAATGGAATCTAAACAGGGCCCTAGAAAATAAGATGCTGAATTTTCCCAGAAAGTTTTTTTTTTATATTTTATGCAATGAATTTTCCTGCTATTTACTTTGCTGAGAGTATAATTTCTACAAGAAAGAGAGAAAGAAAAAAGAGATCAATATTACTTTATTTAACAAAAAAAAATGGTACTTAGAAATTGTTACATGGCTGGAATTCTTAGATTATTAGTAAAAGAAAATATATACTTTAATTCAGTAATCAAGGTAACACACAGGAAGAGAATAAGAGAAGAAACAAAATGCTAAGATAATTTTTTTACCCCCATTCCCTCCCCCCAAATTATGATATTTTTTATTAACAGATACTGAGCCAAAACCCCTGGAGGGAACTCATCTAATGGGTGAGAAAGACCCCAACATCCGTGAGCTTGAATGTGAGCAAGAGCCCACCTGTGCCTCCCAGATGGCTGAGCCCTTCCGCACCTTCAGAGATGGATGGGTCTCCTACTACAACCAGCCTGTGTTTCTGGCTGGCATGGGTCTTGCCTTTCTTTATATGACTGTTCTGGGCTTCGATTGTATCACTACAGGGTACGCCTACACTCAGGGGCTGAGTGGCTCCATCCTCAGTATTTTGATGGGAGCATCAGCTATTACTGGAATAATGGGAACCGTGGCTTTTACTTGGCTACGTCGAAAATGCGGTCTGGTTCGGACTGGCCTGATCTCAGGATTGGCACAGCTTTCCTGTTTGATTTTGTGTGTGATCTCTGTGTTTATGCCTGGGAGCCCCTTGGATTTGTCTGTTTCTCCCTTTGAAGATATCCGTTCTAGGTTCACGCAAGGAGAGCCATTGTCCACAACTACAAAAATACCTGAAACCATCTTTACAACTGAAATGCACACATCAAACAGGTCTGATACTGCTAATACTATCCCAGAGATCCCCAAAATCTCTGTCAGTCTGCTGTTTGCAGGCGTCATTGCTGCTAGAATCGGTAAGAAGTTTCTTTGTATATGTTAATGAATTCAAAGTATATTTTTGGAAAGTTGGTACAGAGATTCACCAAAGATGTGAAATATTTCCTGGGTGTTAATTTTAGCAAAATCAACTGTCTTTAAACATGGAATTTTTATTTTATAGTTTAAAAGGTTATATTTGTATGTGTGTGTGTATGTATACATACTTAAAACATGTCCAGGACTTAAAATGTTTTTCTTAAAGAGTATGTATATATATTTTTTGGTGCTGGGATTAAACCGAGGACCATGTGTGTGTTAGGAAAGTGCTATGCCATTGAGCTACAGATCCCACTTGTAGCCTCTAAGAATTACTCTTTATTTTATTTTAATTTTTTTGTGGTACTGGAGATTAGGACCTTCTGAATGCTAGACAAATGTTCTTCCTCTGAACTACACCCCCCAACCCTTAAGAATTACTCTTTAAATGTAATTTAATTTTTAAAAGATATTACTATAATAATTATACTATCTTCTAGTAATTTAGAATTTTTATATTGTTATAAGTCTACCAAAAGAACTATAATTTAGAGAATATTTCTTTAGGATAGCATAAAAAACACTGTTTAAAAAAATTTTTTTTTAGTTGTAGATGTACACAATAACTTTATTTTTATTTATTTATTTATTTTTATGTGGTGCTGAGGATTAAACCCTGTACCTCACATGTTCTAGGCAAGTGCTCTACCACTGAGCTACAATCCCAGTCCAGGACAGTGTTTTGTTTTGTTTTGGTTTTTAAGATAGGGTAGTTATTAAAAATAATCCTGATGAGTATTTATTATATACTTTGCCACACAAATGGATTTTATAACTCTGGAAGGAAACATAATGTAAAGACTTTTTACAGAGTATAGTTTAAATAATCATTAATAGAGTGCTGATGAATAACTGAATTTATTCTTGAAATGAAGCCATATTTATCTTGTGACACAAAACAGTTCATTAATTTATCAAAGACATTAATATTCCAGCAAGACAGCTTTATTGTCAGGGCCATGGAACCCAGGCAGTAAATGTAACAATGGTTTAAAGTTTCCTTGCCCTTTAACCATGATAATGTCTTAGGTTCTTTTAAGTTGTAAAAATACTGGTACTTACAGGGTTTATGTCATTTATTTCAGAGTTTTATTTTTGTAGTACAAATAGCCACAGACAAACAGAATTAATAAGCTTGAAGATTATATTTATTTTTGTCTGGTGGCTGTAAAAATCATTTCTTGAAGCCATGAATAACCCAATATTTATTAATGAGAAGAAATTCCTTAAGGCAAAGCTATGATTAATACTATATATATGAGTCAACTTAAAGACAGTAGGACTAAAATGTGTACTTTGCACATGTTCACAGGATTTTATTTATAAATCTGAGCTGTATTACTACAAAGTAATTCATTCATTAAAAATATCTTTTATTATATAGGTCTTTGGTCCTTTGATTTAACTGTGACACAGTTGCTGCAAGAAAACGTAATTGAATCTGAAAGAGGCATAATAAATGGTGTACAGAACTCCATGAACTATCTTCTTGATCTTCTGCATTTCATCATGGTCATCCTGGCTCCAAATCCTGAAGCTTTTGGCTTGCTTGTATTGATTTCAGTCTCCTTTGTGGCAATGGGCCACATTATGTATTTCCGATTTGCCCAGAAAACTCTGGGCAACCAGCTCTTTGTTTGTGGTCCTGAAGAAAAAGAAGTTACAGATGAAAACCAAGCTAATACATCTGTTGTGTAAGACAGTTATCATTGCTATCCCTGTTACTAGAGTGCATAGAGCACATGTGCTGTTTTGTACCGCAGAGTTCCAATAAATGCCTGGGTGTATCTCTCTGGTTTTACCACAGCTGTACCTTGAAGTCTAAGAGCTATTTAAGAAACCTAAGTCAGCAAAAATGAGCTGGTTCATTTCCCTTTCATTTAGACATGGAGAAAAATTGAAAAAGAAAAAGCTAGTTGAAGTGTGGGGAGACAATACTAAAACTCTTATGAGTAGATAGAATTTTACAAAAAAAGAGTAGTTAATCATGTGAATTAAGTTATTCTTTGGGAGGTATTTATTTTCTGGATTTGAATTCAGATAAATCAGTTTTCCCTAAAATTCACTCGTGTTTGAGTCTGGCCAAATTACGTTTTTAAAATCTAACTTCTCAGTTATAGTTTAAAAACAAACTCTTTTCCAAGTATGAAGATAACCAGTATTATCCTTATCGATCCTTCTTGGTCTTAAGGGATTTAATGTATGTGGAAAACTGAAAACTTAATACTTAACTAGAATTTTCTAATAAGCTTAATGGTTTAATTTTGGAGAGCACCTTTGTCTTTTTATTATCAGGGCAAAATACTGTATTAAGCATAGGTAGCTTTTCATAAAATGACTATCATGTAAGCTGCAGGTAGAAGCATAGCTGCAAAGTAGATTCATAATGCAGTGACAAAGACTTTACATATGTCAGTAGGTTAGCCATAGAAACTAGAAGCTGAAAGGGTGAGATCCTAATTTCACGCCGCTATCATGAATGACATCGCTTATCTATGAGAGAGTAAGTCCTCAGCCTAGTTAGTTACATGTAGAAAGAGGGACCTCACTTAGACAGGTTTTATTTTAGAAATTATTTGATTTACTTTTTTATACACTCAGAATATTTTTACTTTTACTGTTTTATGCCCAGAAGTTCTATTTACATTGTCGCAAGCAAGAATGTTCATAAGCGTTTCCCTTTCAAATATGTTTGAAAAGAATAGAGGAAAAAAATGTTTGTATGTATTTTTAAAAACTGTTTTACAAGTCAGTTCTCAGCATGCCTGTACCAACATGGTACTTTGCCTTAACCTTTTATGCACTTTTATGGAGACTGCAATACGTTGCTATGAGCACTTTCTTTTTTCTTGAGGTTTAATCTTTTTCTTCATCTTTCTACAGTATGACATGATTTACTATGTTGTAAAATCTTTGTAAAATATTTCTATATAAAAACATTTATAAGTCTTAATTTCTTACTGAATTGTGTCCTCCAATCATTTACTATTGCTTTTGTTACAGAACATCTGTTTTGGATAATGTGTTTTTCTTTATAAAGAGCTACAGTTTCATAATTCTCGTCTCTAGTTCGTTGTGGCCTGGAGAAAAGTGCAATAAACATGGGGCCCATCATGCATTCTTTGACCTTGAATAAGTCACACTAAGCTCTCAAGTTCCATTTCCCTTTATATAAATTAGTGATGATACTATAAACACAACTTCCCTGATTGAATCAAATAAGAGAAGCCATGTGGAAGCATGTTTTGAAATCTAAGTCAAATGGTATTACTAGAGGTTGGACCTAGGCAGTGAGTCTGATACTCCAGTGAGAAGAGAGACATTTCTCTGCCCTCCCCCCACCCTGCCCCCAAATTGGAAGTTAGGAAACTTTTGGCAAATCCCTGTTAACTACTGATCTGATCATGGCATCCGCTCAGACTGTAGAGGCCTCTACTTGGTTTTGCAGTGACCTTGAACAGGCTCTCTGCTTCCTCCTACAGGGGTTGAGCTGGATTTGGAGGTCTGTCCTGAGTTCTCACAGTTGAAACTAAAGGCCTGTGACTTTGTAACATGAATAGAACCATATTAGCAAGAAAAGGTTTCAGCTCTGAATGTCAGCATTTGCCAGACTATGGGCCTACAGGGAGAAGCCCTGTGTAAGAGGAAGGAGCATGGAGTTGGTAAGGCAATAGGAATTTTTATAGTGGCTACTTTAATTTTTGCAGACTACTACTCAGAGCAGGAAGAGAAGGAAAGTGGAGAAAACTCACTGCTGGTCCAGAGAGGCTTTGCTATCTACTGCCCCAGGGCTTAGAAATAGGGCAGGGGTAGGTGGCTCCTGTGCTGGGAGTGGGGGACTACCTCTGGGTGCACTTTTAAATAGGGAGTCAAATATGTACCAGGTCCATTAGAAAACAAAGGAAAGAAGTGAATTAGAAATAGGAAAATATTATTTAGTATGCAATGACACTTTCAAAAGTATCCCTCATACTAGTTCCCTCTTAAAAGCAGTTTGATTCTTTTTTATTTTTATTTTTTCATTTTCTTTTTGTTCCATGCAGGCTTCTCATCGTGGTTATTAATTTGGTTCTTTCAGCATACTCTTTTTTGTTTGCAATATTAAACACAGGAGAGTAATCTTCATTTTCAAAGACATATGCCTGCCCCTTATTCTTGGCAAGACATCTGACTTGCTTGATATTCCTTTCGTTGTCCCCTATTCTTTGCATGAGAGGTTACTTTCCTGTAAGGTGTACACGAGGCAAGAAGCATGCTCAACGTTGCCTGAAAGCCCTGTTGGTGAGGTTGTAGGTTATGTTGGGGGCTCTGATCAGCTGAAGAGTATGCATGTAGGCTAAGGGTGGTGCGATTCCATTTGACTCATGAATGTGGGCCCTGTGTTGCCAGATCATTTGATCTTTCAAAAGTAGAAATATAGAATATTGTGAGAAATTTCCAATTTCTTTCATGCTGTCAACTAATTTGAAAATGGTAAACATACTTTGCTAGCTAAACAAACTACATCCATGGGCTACCTATGAGCCACCTATGGACTGACTATTTTTGTTTAGTTCTCTAAAGGGATGGTTTGTGAACAAGAGAAAACTATTTGAATAAAGCCAGTAAGTATAAAAAGAGAGGAGGTATAAGCACAAGAATGGCAGTCAGGAGAACAGAACAGAAAGAACTGGGCAAAGATTTGTGATGAAAAATTTTAAATTATCCTTTATTGGAGATCACTTAAGATCAAATAATCTATGCATTTATTACCTGCCATGTGATGACAAATGAGAATTTTATCATATAGTCCCTTTATTCTGTATGTTTATAATGTTGGGTTATAAGATGAGGATAATTTAAAAAAAAAACCTTAGAGTTTTCCTGAATTATAAAGATAATCACTCCTGTTTTTTAAAATGCACAGAATTTTAAAAGTTTCCTCTTCTGATCCCACTCCCTGAATCCTCAGAAGTACCCAGTGTGAACACTTTAGGATTTACTATATTTCCTTCTTAAGGAAGTTTTTTTTAAAAAAATACCTTTCGTAACATCATTTGATGAGTTCACCAAGATTATATCTCCATATACTGATCTACTTATAGTTATTATTTAATTACTTAAATAATTGTTATTTATTAAATTATTAAATTTATTAAATTATAAATGTCATTAAATAAATTATTTATTAAAAACTTTAGAGATATATAACAGAGGAAAGTAGATATATAAATTGTCTAACAAATTGATTATGATTAAGAAATAAATGTAGTCTAGGATTCTTTTCGGCTAAAATGGAAAACCACTGAGTTTACTTCCCCACCAATGATACTTACTTCAGACTCACAATAACCTTAGTTAAACATTGCTTGCCCTTTCATAATGCCTTTTTTTTCCCTCTTGATCCACCTTTGAGAATAATCTTGGCTATCAGAACATTTTTGTGTTACAAGATAGCAGTTCAAGAATAGAGTTGAAATGTTAGAACTTTGTGACAACACAGGCATTTGTCACAAGCCTGAACCGGCTGTGTTCAGTCAAACTTTACACGTTAAGTGACTTTTTTCCTTATATGGAGACTTGTTTACAATTTCCAAGTCCAAAAGGGTGCAAGTATTTTATCTAAAGAATGGACAAATGGGAGCTCAAAGTACAAGTCAGTGCTTTTGTCCACGTTCTTTACCCGGGCCTCTCTGGGAGTTAGTATATATTTTCTATTTAAACATTTTCCTTATTGCATTTTACTGAGAGAAAAGGGCATGGCAAAGTTTTCAAAGTAATTATGTTCAACATTGTCTTAGGTGATGGTTGTCTGTCCTTAATTCACGGATGCAGTTGCAGTGATAATACAACAGTTGCTCTAATTGAAGATTTAATAGATGTCTTATAGTAACTAAAACACTTAAGAGATATCCGTGTTTGAAGAACTGATTTTCAAAGCCCTTATAATAAATGACCTCTAATAAGCAAGGCATATCACATTTTAAGTCAACCCCAATAGAATATTTGAGCTTAATGTGTATATATTCTAGAAAGAATCTTTGTCCAATAATAGATTTAACTTTTAATTTAGTATTAGGTATTTACCAAATAGACACACATTTTCTTTTTGTTAATTCTAAGGTATTTAATTTAAATATATTAACAGTAGGAAGGAACTGATATTTGAATATTGATTATTCATTAAACATATTTTGTTCATGTAATCCTCACCATAACTCAATAAAGAACATATTACCTGTGCTTTTTAGATGAGAATTCAACTCTTACAATTAATGCCATATACTTACATAGCTAATAAGAGGTTGAACAGAATATAAAGCAATATAAAGACAGTCTCTAAAGGCTGTCTTCTTTCCTCAATACTGCACAACAATGAGTCTTTTTCTATTGGGAAGTGCCCCCAAATCCTTAATGTTCTCAATGGGCCTATTTTATAATAACTTACACAGGGAAATGGGTATAATTATTAATCATTGAACATGAAGATTTTTGTGTTTCCAAGGAGCTAAAGTTTTTTCTATATTCATGGCTGCCTGTTTTAAACACCTTGGTTAGTCCTGTGCAAGACTTAATAATATTTGGGGACTTTTCTCATATGTATATGAGCTGGTATAGGGAAAATCGTGGCAGAAAGAACTGGGTTCAAATTTTAGTCTTGTCAATTATGCTTTGGGGAAAAATGTTGAACATCTCCAAGACTTCTGTTCTCCAGTTGTACAATGGAAATAGTAATGTCTTACAGAGGATTAGCATTTTTAGCCCAGTACCTAAGATACAGCCCCAATAAATATTGTTTCATAAATTCACAAACGTAGATATTCTTTGTTCCAATATAACTTATTACTCCAGTATAACTTATGTTCCAACTTATTATGTTCCAATATAACTTATTACCGAATTTATTCTTATGCAAAGTTGTCATGTTTGAAAGTAGATGAGAGGATATTGACCTATAAACCCTAGCACAAAAGTCTCATCACAGGTACAAACCAGCCTTTTTGGAGAAGCTTGGAACTATTGGGGGAAGTTAGCAGAAGTATTGTACACAGAATAGCTGCTCCTGTCTAGCTATGCAGACTTCTGTGCAATGTATCTGACATGGCAATGTTTGCAAACAGATGAGTAAAGAGTGAATAATTTGTCTGGAGGGAGCTAATACTCCTAGTGAGGGTGTGGTTCTCCAGTGAAAAGCTTTCTAGTTTTTATACTGAAATTGGAACTCTGATTACCTGTGTGCTGTCCACCCATCTTAAAAGCCTACCCAGTGGCGTGACTTGCTTATTTAGACGAAGCCCTCCCTGAGTGAGATCTGTTAAGAAAATACAATCCGGGGGGGATGGGGTTGTGGCTCAGTGGTATAGTGCTTGCCTGGCATGTGTGAGGCACTGGGTTTGATTCTCACCACCACATAAAAATAAATGAATAAAATAAAGGTATTGTGTCCATCTACAACTAAAAAACAAACAAACAAACAAACAAAAAACAACCCACACAACAGTTGAGGAAATTCATATGAGCTACTTGAATTCATCAACCTAGTGTTTCATAAGTATGAACAAGTAACCAAAGATGGTCAGATCTCGGGAAACCAGTAGCACCAGAGAGTGGAACTAAGGTGAACAAAGTGATGAACCAAAAAGAAAAAAAAATTATTCATAGAAGATAAAAATGTAAAAGTTCTAGTTCCTATTCTCAAAGATCCAAGAGGGAGGGTACATATAAATTAAGTATGAGGTTTTATGAAAAAATATAAAGAGGAAATTATTAGAAATTAAAATGTGACTGCCTTTTCCTAGTCAATAGAAGTCCGAGACAAAGATAAAGAAACTGAGAGGGGGAAAAAAAGTAATCCTAAAGATCAATCTAGGGTATCAAGTTATCTTTCTATTGAGAAATCAAGTAGAGGTAGCAGAAAAAAACAAGAAGATAAATTGGAAAGGAGGGAGAAGCTGGATTACCTTAATGATATTA